GTGCATATGCATCCGAAGAAGTGGGCTGTAGTCCACGAAAGCTTATGCTCTAATAAATTTGTTAGTCTCTAAGGTGCCACAAGTACTCCTGTTCTTCTTTTTGCGGATACAGACTAACACGGCTGCTACTCTGAAATCAGTCATTTAGGAGCACAAGTCCCATGGACTTCAAACCCACTAAGGAGCATAGATGAGTCGAAGCCTTGTAGCTTCCTTGGCTCAGATGTTCAATCCATTAGAAGGTGGTGCTGATTGCAAACACAGCATGCGCTATTTGTTTATCAATTTTATGTTTGTGTTCTCACTGTAAGGATGCTAATGAGGCCCTGGACTTGCACTTTGCAGCACAGATGAGCATTTAATTTCTTAGAATTTCATATTTTACACTGATACTTCCTGCTAACAATTATCTAACTAAAGTACAGAAGACCCACTTTAGAAATTTAAGATTATAAAAAGGGAAGTAAATGACTAGCTACATGTAGATAAAAAATTATCATTTCTGGTAGGATTGTGACTTTTTTTAAAGTCTTGATTTTTGTCTGCCCTGCCATCTTATGCTTTATGTACCTGAAGTGCCCAGGAGACAGTTGCACTGATAGCCATTCACCAAGTCAATGCAGCGTCCTTCATTGAGGCAGGGGTTACTCTGGCATTCATCTACCTGCTCACTGCATATGGCACCCATGTACCCAGAATTGCAAACACAGGTGTACGAATCAATTCCATCCTGGCATTCACCATGGTGGCAAGGGTCAGGGTCACAGTTGTTGATATTCTCTTCACACAAAGTGCCAGTAAAACCTAAGAGAAAAATGAAGAGGCATGATTAAGAGGCTTAGAGATATATTATATGATGTCCTCTGCATTGAATATCAAACACAATAATACAGTGTTCATCATAAATCAGCAAAATGGTATCCAGAATATACAGAACGGTTTGGGCACCTAACCTGTAACCCATCTCCCAAACCCAGAGAAGCCAACAGACCCTGTATGGTGCACAAAGCACAGTGTGCCAGAGAAAAAGCTACATAGATAATCTTTGCAACAGAGACTGATACCTGGAATGCATTCAAATCTGAGCAATTATGGAAGAAAATATTCAAATTACTATCAGAACTGTTTATTGACATCAATATGAAACAAACTGAAGACAATCCCTTCCCTTACTAGACTATTAGTAATAATACTAGATATTTCCACTATCCAGCAGCCCAGAGGACTTAACTTTTGTCAATACAAGGAATTTTAATGCACAGGCCTTGAAAAAATTGACTTTCCCACTGAAGCTTTCCTGGAGGTCTGCAGAAAAGGTAAGCTTTAGTTAAAAAATCTTTTAGTCCTCATGACTGGCAAGAACCTTTAAACGCTCCACCCATGAGCCAACTGTTAAGTGATACACTGCTGTCTGCTAAAGGCTGCAGACATGCACCTCCTGTGCCTCGGCAGCAGTAGAGAGTTCTCCATATTTAAATTTATTAATTAGAAGGTTGATTGACAATATTATTACAATACTACAGCTATTAAACTTAATTACTATAGAGTGTCATACATCACTGATCCATTCCTTTAAACTGAAGGAGGCAGGACAAGCATTTTTCACCCTGGCTTAGAACGATTTAGTCCTAGGTCTAGGAATTGCCAGGTACATTTTTCAGGCCCTGTTAATGCACTATTATAATGTGGGTGCTCTATAACTTGAGACATTTGGAGTTACAGCAGACAAAGCCTTGGAGAACATAGTTGTGGATGATCCTTCACAGGGAACAGAATAGAGGAGTCCTGGTACAATATCTTTTTTCCCCATCTGTAATATATGATTCCATGCAAGACACTCGCTCTCAGTGTCCCCACCACAGAAATGGAGGGAAAAAGGAAGCCAGAGACCTAGCAGTTCTTTAAACAGACACTAGTATTTCAACTGCATGGCCATTCACAGTTGCTTTCAGTCCCATTTCCTCAAAGCTGCCCATGTTCAGTGTGCCCCAAGTCTTTTTTCCTTTTCTGGGAAATCCAAAGTCTCTGTAGGGAAACAGGCCCCAGCCTGTGTGCCCAAAATCAGCACCTGCTTTTCGTGTGTCCTCAATCTAGTTAGCACTCTGATTTGGTGCTGTATTTTCCTGGCACCACTTAAGCAGCTCACCCTTCTCATATTGCCGCTCCTCCTGGCACCTCTCGAGTGAGGGAGCCCTGTATTATATATGGCTGCAAACCCCTCTCTCCCCTCCAAGCAGGTTTTGCTAAAGATTAATAACTAAGGCTCCCCACCCCACTGAGTGAAAATCAGATGGACCATGCCCTAGCTTGAGCTAGGCACAGACTTTCCACAGCTGCTTCCAAGTCCAGAAAGCGTTTGGGTTTTTCCTTTTCCTAGTGACATTTATTCTGTCACAATCAGTAATCAAAGGAGAATCCTGGTAGTAACAACTCCTCTTCTCTGGCCTAGAGCCATTCCATTCTGATATTTCTGAAACTTGCCCTCTTGTATCTACCGCATTCCCTGGGGAATTAGCTATTAAGAGGAATCAGGTTGCTTTAAAAATTCATGCCATCGTAGAGGCACACAGTTTAAAAGTTGCTACTATGTCCATTTGTGATGTTCTGACTAGAGTCTCGAAGAGGGTTTCTTAATCCCTGGAATTACACACAAAATAAATGCTACTTCCAGAATTTTCACAGAAATGCTTTATACAGTCAAAAGATGGAATAAGAGAGATTTATGGAGGCAGTGATACAGTCTAGTCTCAGGAACCTGATACATCATTCTCTTACTGGGATGACGAGATTTATGTGTGCCAGGTTCATTTTACAGGAATAGTATCTAAGACACATCCTCCTGCATATTCTTTCAAACTCATTAAACAGAGAAAACTGATTTTTTCTTTACCAGGAACCACAAGCTCTAGAGCTCCTATTTCTAGTGGTTGTTCTATAGCAATTCTGTCTTCGTTTGAGATACTGATATCCGAACAAAATTTGGAGTAAAACTATGGCATAGTCTGCAGCGTGATATCTTGTCATATCATATGTTGCAGAACCATTTCTCCTAGAGAATAAAGAGAGATGCTTCCCAGTCAGCCATTGGCTTGTGTTGGATTCATAGATCTTAAGGCCAGAATGACTTTTCATGATCATTTGCCCTGAATTCCTATGTAACAAGCCATGCAATTTCACCCAGCAATTCCCACATCAAGTCCAGTAACTTGTGGTTGAACTAGAGCAAGTCTTTTAGAATAACAGCTAGTCTTGATATAAGGATTTCATGCGATGGTAAATTTACCACAGCCCTTGATAATTTGTTCCACTCTTTGAGGACTGTTCTGCTGTCTCTTGCATAGTCTTCCTCTTCCGAAACTATTGTGAACCTGTCCCGATAAAGCCAAATGCCATTTTGGTAAATTCTGTTGTGTCTAACAGAGCCAACATGTTAGGTGCTGTAAAAACACACAAGGCTCCTGCCCCAAACAGCTTAGTGTCTACTCATTCCCTGTGTAGCATTATTAGACTATTCCTGGCACCCTCTGCCACTTCCCTTCTTTAGGGAAGAGGACTTGCCCGACATAAAATCAGGACCAAACAAAGGAAGGAACGTTTTATTTAAGTCTGATCTAAAGTTAGGGGTTCCGTTCTCTGGTATTTTTAGGACATCTCAGGGCAAGTCTCTCTCTCTGGATTCTGTACAGAGCAGAGTAAGTTATTGCTGCTAAACAACTTATGTTGCCTTAGCCACTTTTTAATAGAATTTGACTCTTTGACTGGATTCACTGACAATAAGCCAAATCTCACATGAATCCATCCAGACTAAGAGTGCCTATCTGAGACAGTAGCAGGTGCAGGGGCTAATCCTGCCTCTCTCATATTCCACAGAGTTTCTAGAGCCTCAAGAGCCCCTGGTGATGTGGGTTAATACCATCAGATGTTACAAAGTGGGAAACTGAGGCATGGGGTAGGCAACTTGTTCAACACCTATGGAAATAAGTGGCCAGGCTCACCCCAGAATAAGAGTCTAATTGACCCAGTCCTAAACTAAGCCTCACCCAGCAGTTTCTGCTCAGAGCTGAAGAGTTAAGGCTGGTCTTAGACAGCTCTGTTTTATCCTTGGCTCTGCCATTGAGTTCCTATGTGACCCTGGGCAAATCACTTAAATCAGACTTTTTGGCAGGTGGCCACTAACTGTGTACCACATTTGCTGGGTGTTCAACTTTTAAGGCACCATGTACACTTATTGCACTTAGATCCTCATAGCCCATTCCTCACAGTTATATTAAGTAGTTTGGAAGCAAACAAGCAGGAAGCAATACAGTCTAGCATTGCTCTACCCATCTCTCTTGGTCTCAGGCTGCCAGTTTTCACTTGGGCCCATCCTGAAGTCCCAAAGAAAGCATTCCATGCTGGGGAATCCCAGAATGGAAAAACACCAGTAAATAGGGACTCTTTGCAGGGGAAAAGCGATGACACTGAAAGAGTGAAGCTAGACTTCCTTCCACGCAACTGTGAATCCTTTGGTGTCACAAACCATGGGGCTTCTGTCCCTAAGAGATACTCAGTGCTGCCCTCTTCTGCAGAGAGGTAGGCAGCAAAGATTCATGGAAAAAAGACTTTCAGAGATAGCACAGCCCCAGTGCTTTGCTGCCTGCCTCTGCTCACTACATAGGCTGCACAAACTAGTTTCTATTCAAGGGGCTATAGCCATTGCACTGAATGTGAGAAGATGTGATGAGGCTAACCTGTGGCACACTGGCATTCATAGCCATTTGGATAATCAATGCACTTGGCTCCATTTAGACAAGGTGTGCTGGAGCAATCATCAATGTCGATCTGGCACACTGCTCCAGTGAAACCTGAAAGGCAAGAGGAAAGTGAGAATCCTGAAACTATTCAGAGTAGGAATATCCATCCCCTGTCCCTTCCTGCTCCTCAAAACAGGCTCAGGTGTTGATCTGGCCAATTTGCAGCTTTTCAACCAGCCAGTTTTTCTCCTTGTGACTGCCATCTTGGCTCCATAATTTAAGCTCTCATTTGTTTGATCTTTAGATTTTATGGTTAAGAAGAAGAATGTTGAATGTTAACAAAGAAATGGATACTGGCTGCCTGCCACAGTCTGCAGACAGCCTGAAACTGATTCTGGAGAAGTGTGAACTCTTCTTATTAACCGCAATGAATCATTAACTCTGGATCCTAATGACACGTTCAATGTCAACAATGTTAGCTACTTGCCTAAAATCACTCAAGGTAAAAGGGACAATCATTATGATTAGGCTTGGAAGAATTCGATTTTTTTTATAATTTCAACAGATAATATTGATGTTCATTTTTAAGCATTTTTTCTATTTTTATGGATATAAATTTTCAAAGTTGCAGGAAATTGTGGGGGGGGTGTCAGACAATAATTATTTAGTGAAAGTAGACATTGAGAGTCAAAAAGCTAAAGCTTTAGAAACATTAAAACATTGTAAACATCACATGTGAAAATATACAAAGTAAATATCCTTAAATAAGATTCTAAGAAGTTTTCAGGCAATATAGGAAAATGCTGCTTATCTGTGAATTTTGATCATCAATGGAAATATTTTTGTCCATGAAATCAACGTTTACCTACATTTACCGACAAAAATCAAATCCTTCAATGCCTAAACATGATCTCTAAAGCATCTCATTTTGAAATGAATAAGCTTGAACTTGAGTGGAGCTTTAGAGTACCACCACTTTTCTCCCCATTAAACCTCTGAACACAGCGTCAATTGCATCAAAGAGTAGGCAGACTTTGGCAGATGTATTGCTCAGGATTAATTCTTAGCAAATCTTTAAAACTGCCCACATGTAGTGTGGTAGATCCAAACCAGGTTTCATCACTAGCCCTCATCCTCCCTGGATTAGTTGGTTCCTGGTCCAGCAAATCACCCTGCCAAGAGGTAGCTTCCATCCTCCAGGTCAAAAGGGAAGGAACAATCTCCGTGATGCTCAGGGTATGCCACACTGCAAGTCAAGGTATGCTTGCAGTGTTCATCTGACTGGCACGGGTAACAAAGGCAATGAGAACATGTTGACACAGGTTAGCTGGCCCAGTCTCAGCTCACCTGAGATTCTGGGTATGTATTTGGGTTGCTGGCCTATGCCACAGGCAATGCCTCCACATCTTCACTGCTATTGTTATCCACCCTAGCTAGATTAAAGCAAGCATGGGCTTGCCTATCTGTATTGTAGTCATACTGTCACTTGCAAAGCAATACATCTTCATTTGCAGTGCAGACATGTCAGAATAGGGCTGGCATGGGGCAACAAGAAAAAAGCAAAGGGAGGACCTTCCACAGTGGTATGCTTGGGAAACTGAAACAAAACAACAAACAGAGGAGACTTTGGGCAGTCAAAGTGAGGAACTCCACATGAAGAAATAATTCATCTATTACTAAAGCATCCCCTTACCCACAATTATAGCTAAGGGTAGCACAGCAGTATGGGATGCACTGTACAGCACAGGACAAGATGTCCTGTACCTTGCAACGCTTTGTTATTGATAAACAAGGTACTGGATTGTGTCAGTTATGGTGATGGAGCCAGACATCCTGGCACCAGGAGAAGGGAAGAGAGGACTCAAGTACTGCTTCTGGGGGGAAGGGACTGAGGGAAAGTAGAGATCTCCCTGGGCAGGCCCAGGAAAAAAAGCATTTACTTCTCCCCCAGTTGGCTTACAAGATATTGGACCTTAACCTGGTGACCTTGAACCTGGTGCTGGTCCTTTGGATTAGCAGCAGCCCCTTTCTGCAGAGAAGAATGCTGGCTCCCTGCACTGTGCTAGCGACTTAACCAAGTTGAGTTGCTGAGGAAAGGCTCTCACCTAAAACCTTGAGGAAGCCAAAAAAAATTATGTGGAGGATGAAAACTGTCTCAAATTAAAATAGATTTAAAAATAATTTCTACAGACATTGGTCTGTAATTCACCATGACATTCTTTAACAAGTGAAGTCATAGCTGCCAGCCACTATGTAAAACTACGTGTTCAGTCTTAACATTTGTCCAGTAAAACGCACAGTGTTAATGTTGTATCAGGATAGTTGCATATGAAACTTATTTAGCAAGTATTACAGCTAATCATTTCTGTTCTCCTTTAAAGGAATTCTAATTTGGGCATGAGCACTCTGCAGGGAAGGCACATCCTGAGCAGGTTTGCTTTCGCTCCACTCCAACAGTCTGTTGTGCCCTTTGTAGGGAGAAGAGAGGTGGTGCTGGGGAGGAACACTTACCAGGTGGGCAGACACACTGGAAGCGATTGACTTTATCCAGACATTCTCCATTGTTCACACAGGGATTACTCTGGCATTCGTTAATCTCCAGTTCACAGTGCATACCTTTAAACCCTGGAAAGGATAACAAGGAATGGTAGAAAGGCTTTAGAAAGTGCCCAAGGTGTTGGCTACACCTTATTCCAGGACTGAAAATCAAAGCTAGATTTAACTGAAATAGAAATTCCAGTTTGTATTGACATTTTTGATATAAAGAGACCACATTTTAAAGGCATAAATACAAGTGTTAAAGTGGAGTTTTCAACTTGAACATTATCAGAGGGGTAGCCGTGTTGGTCTGTAGCCACAAAAAACAACAAGGAGTCTAGTGGCACCTTAAAGACTAACAGATGTATTTGGGCATAAGCTTTCGTGGGTAAAACCCCCACTTCTTCAGATGCATGGAGTGAAAATTTCAGATGCATGCATAAATATACTGACACATGAAGAGAAGGGAGTTATGTGTCAGTATATTTATGCCTGCATCTGTAATTTTCACTCCATGCATCTGAAGAAGTGGGGGTTTTACCCACGAAAGCTTATGCCCAAATACATCTGTTAGTCTTTAAGGTGCCACCGGACTCCTCGTTGTTAACTTGAACATTACATTTTCAGAGCTGCATGCATGATCTCCCAATATCACAATAAAGACAGAAATCGGAATTGAAATGTACCATTTTCTTCTGCATACTGAAAAGAGAAAGAGACAATTATGTCTTTAATGAATTGGGAGGGGACCAAATACATTGATGATGGGCACCAGTGTAAGAACATAAGTAGAGTCACTGACAATAAAAGGAGATAATTTACAAACAAAAGAAAACTAACTCAGCAGGTAGTCACTCTGAAATTCACTCCCACAGGAGGGAAGGGTCAAAATACTGTATGTGGGTTTTGGAAAGGGTGGAGCAACGCCTTCATTTGTTGCTAGGCTTACTAAGACTGGGTAAATTCACTTTATGCTTCATTGTGTCAGCTCATCACAGAGTGGAGTCAGGAAGGAATGCTTCCTCTATATTTGCATAACACTGCACAATTGGCCAAGGGCATGCTGTTTTTTCCCCCTTCCCTGAAGCACTTGGTATTGGTCACTACTAGAGGGAAGTTAATAGATTGGACAGAGCATTGGTGTACTTGATGTGGTAACCACTATAGAGTAAAGATTTCAAACATGTCAAAATATTTTTAATAGTGAGATCTATCAGTCTATAGCAGGGTTGAGCAAGCTACGGCTTGGGGGCTGCATCCAGCCCTTCAGACGTTTTAATCTGGCCCTTGAATTCCCGCCAGGCAGTGGGGTTGGAGGCTTGCCCCACTCCGTGTGTGCCATGGCTCCCGGAAGCAGCGGCATGTAGCCCCCTCCGGCTCCTATCCGTAGGGGCAGTCAGGGGGCTCTGCATGCTGCCCCCGCCCCAAGTGCTGCCCCTGAGCTCCCATTGGCTGGGAACCGCAGCCAATGGGAGCTGCAGGGGCAGTACCTGCGGAGAGGGCAGCGCGCAGAGTCACCTGGACTAGGGTTACCATATTTTAAAAAAACAAAAAGAACACTCCACGGGGCCCCGGCCCCGCCCCAACTCTGCCCCTTCCCTGCCCCCAGCCCCGCCCCAACTTGACCCCGTACCCACCCCCACCCAACTCCGCCCCTTCCCCAAAGTCCCCACCCCAACTCCACCCCCTCCCATGAACGCTCCGCCCCCTGCTCCTCCCCCTCCCCTGCTTCCCGCGAATCAAATGTTCGCGGGAAGCCTGAAACAGGCAGGCAGCAAGTAAGCTAGGGCTGGAGCTGGGGCGGTGGCAGGCGCGAGGAGGCGCGGCCCAGTCCGGCCTCCCCAGCCGAGCGGCTCTGGCCCCGGCGTCTCCGTCCCAGCTCGGCTCGGGCCCTGGGGTGCCGGCCCCAGTTCCAGCCGAGCGGCTCCGGGCCGCCCCGGCCCTGGCGGCTCCAGCCCCGGTGACTCCGGCCCCGGCAACTCCAGCTCGGCTTGGGCCCTGGGGCACCGGCCCCGGCCGAGCACCCCCAGCCCTGGTCCCAGTGGCTCCGGCCCGGCTCGGCTCAGGGCCCGGTTCCGGCCGAGCGGCGGCCCCAGCCCCAGAGGCTCCAGCCCAGATCCAAGCCCCACGACCCCTCCCTATTTTCCCGGACATGCCTGGCTTTTTGGAATTTCCTCCCGAACGGGGATTTGAGGACCAAAAAGCCAGACGTGTCCGGGAAAATCCGGACGTATGGTAACCCTAGCCTGGACCCCTCACCTCTTCCTGTGCCCCAACTCCCTATACCAGCCCTGATCCCCCTCCCACCCTCCGAACCCCTCAGTCCCAGCCAGGAGCACCCTCCTGCACCCCCAACCTCTCATCCCCAGCTCCACCCCAGAGCCCTCTCCCCCCACACACCTCAACCTCCTGCCCTAGCCTGAAGCCCCCCTCCCACACCCTGATGTCCTCATTTCTGGCCCCACCCCAGAGCCCATCCCCCCCAGCCAGAGCCCTCACCCCAACCCCCAATTTCGTGAGCATTCATGGCCCACCATACTATTTCCATACCCAGATGTGGTCCTCGGGCCAAAAAATTTGCCCACCCCTGGTCTATAGAATAGCTTCCCAATCTACTGGGAACTGCATCACTTGCGACATTGAAAACCTAGACTTGAGAAAGCCCTGGAAGTTATCCAAAACCAAAAGTTAAGATACAAAGAAGGTTAAGCAGTAACCAATTTGTGTGCTTGTATTTAATTTAACAAGCTAGGTCTTGCTCACTAACAAATTACAGACTACTTTTTCTTCCTTCTTCACACCACCCCTATTGCCTGCTTTCTCCTCTCCTCACACACCAGCAAGCCTTCACAACCCGTCTGCCCATAGCAAATGATCTCCAGTGACCTCATTCAGCACAGCTCTTGGGCACTCCCATCACACTGGTCTCTGGCACAGTGGGCAATCCTTCCCTTCCTCACACTTCTGAGCTTTTTATCTTTGCCAGAAGCCCCATCCCAGCTTGGAAAGTGTCCCCTTACCTGGCATGCAGAGACATGTGAACCCTCCAATTTTATCCAGGCAAGTGGCATCATTCTGACATGGTTCGGAAAGACATTCATTAATGTCCAGTTCACAGCGAGGCCCTGTGTACCCCTTCAGACATTCACAGTGGAAGGAGCCTTCTGTATTCACACATTTCCCGGCATGCTCACATGGATTGCTGTTTGCTGCAAGAGACACACATTTATATATCAGAATCTGCTTTTCTGGTCATGATAGTCTCAGCACCATCTCCAGTCAGGCCCTTCTCATGCCATTCCCTCCTGACAAGAAGCGTAGGGCAGACAGGACTCTTCTTTCTACTGTGAGGTGCCTGCTGTCTTTTACGTGCCCGAGGAAAGATTCAACGGCCACCTGTTTGCAGACAGAAAGAGAAATTTCCAAGCCTTATCAATGGATCAAGAAGAGCATTCTGGCCTGTACCACTGCTCCTCTCCTCACTCCCATGGAGCTGAAGATGGCATTGACAGAGGCACCCAACAGGGGATCAAGGCACTCAAGCCTCTTTGAAGGCCTCATATCGAAATCACCTATTCAACTTGCCCACCCACTTCAGGACTGAGGCCTTCAGGATGCTCCTGAGCCCATGTGACAGCCAGGCCTTTGCTACCAATCTCAGTCAGACTAGCCTGTAGGGCCTTCTCCTAGAGAAGCTTCGTGCAGCATTCTTGTCTAAGGTGGGGTAGAGGAGTAAAACTCATTCAAGGAGTGGCCCTCTCCAGAAGACACCAGGCACCAGGTATGCTGGTTAGTGACTGGCTTCAAGTGGTACAATGGGCAGTGGGCACACACAAAAATCTCAGTGTCAAGTTGAAAATGTTAGACAAGCCCCAAAAGATTAGTTTTGCAAAAATTGCAACTTCTAAACCCAAATGGTAAGAAGTCTGGAAATGTAATTAAAGGATCTAGCTGCTTCCTTGCTGTTTGACATGACATCATCAACCTCTACCTCATGAAAGACAGAAACAGCTGCCATATAAACTCTGAGGCATTATTCTCAAAATAGATTTGACACACAGGTGGTCCAAAACAACCAAAACAGGCAAAAACAGGATCTCGTATAAATGGAAAGGTTATATCTGTTTAATAAGGAAACAGGTACAATGATCCTAAAGTGCAACAGCCACGATCTGAACTGGATGGAGAATCAGACGTCTGAGATTTAAAAAAAAAGAAGAGAAAAGCGGTTCTTGAGAGAGCACTAAGTGGTCTAAGCACCCCAAGCATCAACATAACTGATAAGCCCAAGTGACCAAGAGCCACCAGGAGCAAGTGGGCCTTTGCCAAGGTCATTCTTCTGCACACTGGGAACTGCAATGAAAAAGCTGCTTCTGTTATCTAGTCCATCCCTCCATGTCCTGGTGCAGACTCAGTGGCTGATGACTTCATTGGCATGTAGACCCAACTTTGGGGTACACTTTGGAAAGAACAAACACCACACGTCTTGGTCCCATGCTGGGTGAATAAGCCAATCAGCAATCCATTTTACTTCTCCTGTCAGGTAAATGAACTTAATCCCAGAGAGCAGTTGCTGCTGGGGCAGAGGTAACTGGATCACTGCCTTTCCTTATTTCTACCAGCAGCAAAATGAGAATGTTATCACAAACAGTCCACTGGCATCTGAACCGCCAGGAATGAACTGGAGAGGCGGCAACAACACTATAAAGATTGCAGATTAGGCTATATTGGGAGAAGCTGCGATTGCCAGTAAGAACATAAAAACGGCTATACTGGGTCAGACCAAAGGTCCATCTACCTCAGTACAGTATTCTGTCTTCCGACAGTGGCCAATGCCAGGTGCCCCAGAGGGAATGAACAAAACAGGTAATCACCAAACGATCCATCCTGTCACCCATTCCCAGATTCCGGCAAACAGAGGCTAGGGACACCATCCCTGTCCATCCTGGTTAACAGCCATTGATGGACCTATCCTCCATGAACTTATCTAGTTCTTTTTTGAACCATTGTGTGCGTTGTGTGAAAAAATACTTCCTTTTGTTTGTTTTAAACTTGCTGCCTATTAATTTCATTTGGTGACCCCTAGTTCTTGTGTTATGAGGAGGAGTAAATAACACTTCCTTATTTACTTTCTCTACACCAGTCATGATTTTATAGACCTCTATCATATCCCCCCTTAGTCATCTCTTTTCCAAGCTGAAAAGTCCCTGTCTTTTTAATCTCTCCTCATATAGCAGCTGTTCCATACCCCTAATAACTTTTGTTGCCCTTTTCTGAACCTTTTCCAATTCCAATATTTCTTTTTTGAGATGGGGTGACCACATCTGCAAGCAGTATTCAAGATGTGGGCGTACCAGGGATTTATATAGAGGCAATATGATATTTTCTGTCTTATTATCTATCCCTTTCTTAATGATTCCAACATTCTGTTTGCTTTTTTGACTGCTGCTGCACAGTGAGTGGATGTTTTCAGAGAACTATCCACAATGACTCCAAGATCTCTTTCTTGAGTGGTAACAGCTAACTTAGACCCCGTCATTTTATATGTATAGTTGGGATTATGTTTTCCAATGTGGATTACTTTGTATTTATCAACATTGACTTTCATCTGCCATTTTGTTGCTCACTCACCCAGTTTTGAGAGATCCTTATGTAGTTCTTCCCAGTCTGCCTGGGACTTAACTGTCTTGAGCAATTTTGTATCATCTACAAATTTTGCCACCTCACTATTTAGTCCTTTTTCCAGATCATTTAGGAATATGTTGAATAGGACTGGGCCCGTTACACACCACTCTTTACCTCTCTCCATTCTGAAAACTGACCATTTATTCCTTCCCTTTGTTTCCTATCTTTTAACCACTTACCAATCCATGAGAGGATCTTCCCTCTTATCCCATGACAGTTTACTTTACTTAAGAGGCTTCGGTGAGGGACCTTGTCAAAGGCTTTCTGAAAATCTAAGTACACTATATCCACTGGATCCCCCTTTGTCCATATGCTTGTTGACCCCCTCAAAGAATTCTAGTAGGTTGGTGAGGCATGATTTCCCTTTACAAAAATCATGTTGACTCTTCCCCAACAAATTACGTTCATCTATGTGTCTGACAATTTTGTTCTTTACTATAGTTTCAACCAGTTTGCCCGGTACTGAAATCAGGCTTGCTGGCCTGTAATTGCCGGGATCACCTCTGGAGCCCTTTTTAAAAATTGGTGTCACATTAGCTATCCTCCAGTCATTTGGTACAGAAGTGGATTTAAATGATAGGTTACAGACTACAGTCAGTTCTGCAATTTCACATTTGAGTTCCTTCAAAATTCTTGGGTGAATATCATCTAGTCCTGGTGACTTATTACTGTTGAGTTTATAAGTTTGTTCCAAAACCTTCTCTAATGACACCTCAGTCATAGAATATCAGGGTTGGAAGGTCATCTAGTCCAACCCCCTGCTCAAAGCAGGACCAATCCCCAGACAGATTTTTGCCCCAGATCCCTAAATAGCCCCCTCAAGGATTGAACTCACAACCCTGGGTTTAGCAGGCCAATGCTCAAACCACTGTGCAGTATTACTGATTACCCCTACTTCAGAAAGAATTGGAAGGGGTTCTGAGATGGATAAGAATGATTAGGGACATGGAAAAACTTGTATGAAGACAATGGCTTAAGAGCAGACAGATAAGAGGGGACATGATGAATATATACAAAATAAATAAATACATGAATACAAAATATATGGAGAAGATTCATTGGAATCTTAACCCTGTCTCATAACACAAAACCAGGGTCATTCAGTGACATTTAAAGGTGGTATATACAAAATGGTTAAGAGAAAACATTTTCCAATTACAATAACTCCTCACTTAACGTTGTAGTTATGTTCCTGAAAAATGAGACTTTAAGCGAAACGATGTTAAGCTAATCCAGTTTTCCCATAAGAATGAATGCAAATGTGGGGGTTAGGTTCCAGGGAAAAACTTTTTTGCATACAGTACAGTACAATAATTGGGTGGTGTCTCCGCCTTACCCCACACAGGCACAGCCCACTGGCACTGGAGACAATGAGGCAGGCAAGGAGGCTGAAGGTGCTCTAGGCTAGGAGAAGCATGTTGCACAGCAGCAGCGGCAGCTTCCCCTACTCTGCAAGCACCAGGGGTGGGGGGCTCAACCCTAGGCCTGCCCACACCACCCCTTCCCCCAAACCCCCACCCGTAACCCGCCTCTTCTTCCCCCTCCTCCCCCTTTACTCCGCACGCCGTGTCCTCACTCCTCCCCTTTCCCTCCCCTGCCTCCTGGCCGCGGCAATCAGCTGGCTTGCAGGAGGGAGGGGGGAGGAGCGAGGACATGGCACACAGACTCCCCCTACCTCCCCTGCCTCCTGAACACCGCAAGCCATCTGATTGCCCCGGGCAGGAGGCAGGGGAGGAAGGGGGGAAGTACGCCGCATCCTCGTTCCTCCCCCCTCCCTCCTGCCCGCGGCAATCAGCTGGCTTGTGACGTTCAGGGGGCAGGAGGGAGGGGGGAGGAGCGAGGACTTGGTGCACAGGCTCCCCCCCTCCCTCCCCTGCCTCCTGCCGCGGCAATCAGCTGGTTTGCGGCATTTGGGAGGCAGGGGAGGGAGAGGGAGCCTGTGCAGCTCCCCCCTCCCTCCTGAACGCCGCAAGCCAGCTGATTGCCATGGGTAGGAGGCAGGGGGAGGAGGGGGAAGGCGCTGATCTGCGGGGTCTGCCAGTGGGCGGGAGGTGCTGGGGGGAGGCTTAAAGGAGCTGATGGGGGGCTGCCTCCTGTGGACAAAGCAGGCAGCCAAATGAGGTTATAGTGAAGCATTGCACAACTTTAAATGGAGCAGGGACGCAAGAATGAAACAATGTTAAGCGAGAGGACGTTAAGTGGAGAGTTACTGTAACATAATTAGCCCATGGAACTCATTTCCACAAGATGTACTTGAGGCCATAAGCTTATCAGGTTTAATCAGGATTAGCAATATTATATGGATGACATGAATATCCAGAGCTATAGCAGTAAGTATGAGAAGAGTTATGGAAGTAATGCAAGCTCTCTTGCTTCAACCTGTAAGTATTGGGGATTAACTAGAAACTTCAGTGGGGGCAAGTATCCCATAACTGACTACGCAGGACTTCTTGCACCTTTCCCTGAAGCAGCCAATACTACCCACTTTCAGAGACCGGCTTCTGACTAGATGGATCTTAAAGTCTGGTACCTCTGAGTTTTGATCCTCAATGACAGACTTCATCACCTGGGCAGTCATTTAATCTCTATTTCAGCTTCCCTTACAGAAGAGGTCATTCTAGCCTACCTTTCAGAGCTGGGGAGAGGTTATAGTGTTTGTAAAGTGCTCTGGGAATCAGAAGTACAACACAAGTCTTAAATTGTTGATGGAACAAAGAAAGACTGTATCCTGGGCCTTTGTATCCTCACATAGGTCACATACTTCCACAAGCTGTTCCTATTTCTCCCTCCATCAGTTTCTCAAGTAGAACATCCACAAACCTACCTATTAGCAGATGGGAACTTACCCATAGCACACTCATCCACGTCATCAGTACAGTCTGCTCCTTTATAGCCTTGAGGACAGGTGCAGATATAGTGTCCATTCAGAGGGTTGGTATCACATAGAGCTCCCATCAGGCATGGGTTGCTAACACATGCATCATCCAAGTGGCACAGGAGACCTACAGAAGCAAAGGAGGTCACACTAAGCAGTTCATTGAGAAGAATAAAATCTGTTCATCGGGTTGCACCACTCATTTAGCATTCTCCACACTGATTTTGTTAATCTAGGCCCCATTTCCCATGCCAAGAGGCAACTGGAACCATGACAGAAGAAGATGTCACGTGCAGACATTTGCTATTGGAATCTGACCATGTACTGTACAGCATAATACAATGGCATGTCATATTGCTGTGGTTTCAAAGCATTTATCAGTTCTCATTGTATGCTATAATGGTTTAGTGTTTAAAGCATCAGCTGGGAGCAGCTCTTCCTAGCTAGTTTTTCTATCCCCTTCACCAGCTAGCACGGTGCATCTTCTGGTGAAGACACAAATGCAGCTCCCTTCCTTAGTCCTCAACATGGTCAGGAGCTATTGCATAGCCTCCAGGCTGCCAGTGCAGCTCCCTTGGTGTGTCAATGCTCTTAGCTTCTTATCTACACCTGCAGGGGATTCCCCACCAGGCCAGATAAGGCAGCTTTAAAGCAACATTCCTCCTGTATGCAGCCATGTCCCAGTTCCCCACTTTAGTCATACGGGTGTGTTATCTCAGAGGCACAGGAGCTCCAAAATCCAGTCCCCCATCTCCTGGGCTCAGGTTTTATATACAAGCTGTATTCCAGTACTTGCACAGGGCCTCAGCCAACCACACCTTCTCAGGGTAGTATAGCCCTCACAGGGTCTGCAAGTAATTCTTCCTCCCTTGAATAAGGGATCACAACGGTCTTTCCCCTCAGTGTGTGCAGAGTGGCCAGCTTGTCCTGCCCTTTGTCACAGAGGAGTCCTTTACCACCCACAGGGTGACATCAGAGAGCATTTGGGCCCCATTTGCCTGCCCTGAAGTCCAAACTGCCCCAGTTTCTCCTTCTCCAAGGCCACTTCCTTTGCACTGCCTGAATGGTACCAGGGGGCCTGTGTATGGGCCAGGATCTATCCCTGTGTCATGTGCACACATAGGGACAGTTAGGGTTGTCCCGTTAGCCTTCATTTATGCTTTTAAGCATTTCTATTGGAAGCCTCCATGTTAAACAATTTTAATCTTACTGTTCACAATTTACCCTGTGACAGGCCAGATGCTGGCTGGTCCTTGCACAGGTGAGGAGGGTGCAGAGGGTATAAGAAACCTTCCCTTTCACTTTTGCTCCTGCATGCATGGCTAGAAACTTTCCCAAAAGAGGGTCCTCTTCCACACAAGTGGTGGATGGCCACAAAGAGGAGGGCACATTGCACCCTCTCACCGGATGGGGGAGTTGCTCCTGTGGTGTGAGCTCCCTGAGCCAGAAATGAGTAGCACTTTTTAAAGTTTTTTAAAAGGCACATTTTAGTTTACTTTAGAAATGGTATCCTACACCTCTAGCTGTCCGTCGGCAGCACAGAGCAGCAATCCCAGAGCTATGTGCATTTCTCATCCTTACCTGTCTTTCCTTCTGGACAAATACATGTAAATGAGGCCACACGATCAATGCAAGTAGACCCGACAGCACAGGGAGTATTGAAACAGTCGTCAATGTTCTTACTGCAGTCCTCCCCGCTCCAGCCATTGACACAGACACAGCTGTGGCCTCCATTGTGGTTGGTGCAGGTCCCTCCATTCTGACAGGCGTTGGGCTGGAGCTGACATTCATCCACATCTTCAGTACAAAACTGACCTGGGAAGTCAAGAGGGACGAGTTTAACAGAATTCCAGGGAAGCCTTGCACAAGATGCCATTCCACTAACTGAAGAAGAGTCAGAAATCCTGAATACGGGACAGTTTGTGGAATAGAAAATGACTGTCCTGGGAGTACTTCTAAGAAAAACATAATTAAATACACCAGGTACCCACTATTGCTTTAATCTGCAAATGGAGGTGACCCATGCATTGCCAAGTGAAGATAGAAATACTTGCAACAAATAAGCCCCTTGGGCTAACCAAGGGCTAACAGACAACTTCATCATCTTACCAGTGCCCTATCTGAATAGTCAGTGTCCCAATCCAGTCCTTAGCAGGCATAGCTATTAACACAACTGACTACCATCTTCACAGCCTCAGGAGAAAGGCTCCTGGCCATTTAGTTATTGTGACAATGAATTTTCCCTCAGCCCTAGAAGGGGAGACACACTGCCTTGGAAGAACATATACATGGGTATATGAGCAAGGAATAGTTTTGCAGATACCTATCCTTGGAATATCTGCATCATGTCTCTGGACATACCCAGTATAAACTAGATGTTGGTAAAGGCCTGAGCAGACTCACAGTATGTCTACACAGCAAAAGCTGCGCACGACTAGCTTACTCAAGCTAGCTTGAATCCAGCTAACATGAGTACCAGTAGTAGGGGTGACAGCAGTGTGGGCTTCGCAGCAGGCTAGCAAACTGAGTACATACCCGTCTGTGCTGGGCCTATATTACCTGCTCCAAACCCCCGTGGTGCATGTCTTCACTGCTATTGTTATTTTCGCAGGCTGGATTCAAAATAGCTCAAGTAGGCTAACCTGTGCAGAACTTTTCCTGTGTAAACATACCCTCAGTCTAAAGTGGATGCTCCTGGAATTAAAGATGCTGTATTTCTCTTGCCTTCTGAGTGTTAACTTATTTCCAGTCAAAGATCGATTGATTATTTTCTCCTCTAAGTCCACTGAATTTGCAAAGAAAAGTCTCAAGAAAATGGCATCAGCTTTAGCCACACTTTGCGGCCTGCAGTGAAAGCACTAAAAGTGCAGATGGACTTTTTTGTCTGATAGGCCTAGCATCAACCCAGGTGTGTATAATGCTTGTCGTGACACCATGCAGTAACAATACAGTAGGAATGAAGGCACTGACTGTGGTCCTGGAGTAGATTAAACTGATTTTTAAACATCTATATCTAATGTATATACATATTTTTCCCCTCACAGGGACACTACATGGCAGAGTTAAGGTTGTTTGGGTGATTTAACTGTGCATTTCCAGACTTACATGCCTGCTAGTTTAACCTTCACTCTGAATTTCCTGGATTCATAATGCTCATTTGGGGGAATAACTACAGTCCACTAATAGGACACTAGGAAAAAGTTCCTAACTGTCAGGGTGGTTAAACACTGGAATAAATTGCCTAGGGA